ATTGAAGCAGGTCTGTATTTTGTTAAAGCTATCAAAAGCCTTTGAAGAAAGTTGTTTTGGGAGAACTTGCAATTTATGCCCTCTGACACATGAATCCTTTAACCCTGCCTTTTCTGCTGGAGGAAGCAATTTGCTTGTAAATTTTGCCTGTCTCTGCATATTGAGCTTCATATCCCTCATCATAGTAACTTACGAGTTTTACAAATGCATAATTTTTTTTTAATTTAATCTAAAAATAGCAGGGTAGGCTGCCTCAGAAACCTGCTGTGTTTTTTTGCTCCTGGCAGCAGCAAGGGAGGGTGCCTTGCAGTCAGTTGTTGCTTACTGTGAAGCCCTCATTTGCTGTGCCTGGACAGCGAGTGGTGTGAAAGTGATTTCATGGAGAGGCAGGGAAGTACGTATGTTAGAAGGTCTTCCTTCTAGCCTAAAAGAAGGTCGTCTTTTGTCTGGCAGCCTCGCCGGGGCTTGCATCGCCTGTGGTCATGTAGTTGTGCACTGCTCGTGTTGGGGAGGAAGAGGAGGCGGCGGCAGCATGGACGGGAGTATAAGCACAGAGTAGGTGGGGGGATTGCAAGGAAAGATAACCCTGGGGAGGAGAATAAAGTGCAACACAAAATGGGAGGAAAATGATATGGGAGGAAAATGATATGGACACTTGATGTGCCTGGGGAGTCATGAAAAGAGTGACAGGATTAGGGTGCACGGGCCAGTGCCCTTCTGGCTTTCAGCAGGGAGAGGCTGGAGGATACTCCGTGATGCTAACGATCCCGATCATCTCTTGGGAATCGCAAGGATCCCAGCTATAATGCTGACTGCTGTGGGTGTGTCAGTAAATTCTCATGGTTTTAACCCTCATAGAGAAGATAAGAGAGAGATCCATTTAGCAATTTGTGTAATACTGAGCAGAATTCAGAAGTTGCCCAATGCAACTAAGTAGCTATTAGAAGAAAAGAAGATTTCAAAACAGGGTTGCAAAATTGGGCATTTCCTAACTTTGAAATTCCAGAATTTAGATAGCTTGTGCAAGTATCGCACGTACAAGATGCACACTTGAATCCAGCTTTACCATGCTTACTGGGGGAGAAGACACCGACTTCTTCTGGGTTACTGATGTTGTGTTTTATTACTTATCAAAAAATTAATTTTGTACTGATAAGGGTTGCTGAATTGACATCTGTGAAAGATGACTTTTTACGTTCACAAATACCTCTTTGTGCTTGCTTTGCCTCTGTGTCCTGGAGGATGGGAAGGAAAGACAGCAGTCATCTTCCCGTTGTTGGTTTCTCAGCTTCTCCTATTTCAGGGCTAGCATTTTGCATTTTTGCAGTAGGTGGACCAGAGCACTGTTTATTTGCCCGCTGACATGGGTGGTGTGAGGGCCAGACGTTTTTCGATCTTGGTAACAGTCAGGATATGCCATCGCAGCTTCCTGCTTTCGTAATCTGTGCTAGTATTCTCTATTAGCATTTAGGCAGCCTGAAACTTTTCTTTCTAACAGTTTAGGTTTTCTGTCCTGTGCAAGAGGACTTGTCTCTTCCCATTTCTCTGTGTGTGCACTAAATTTAGGCATGTGAATGGGAATGTTCACAGCTCTGAGTTGCCAGCTGTGCTCTGCCAAAGTGACAGGAGCTCTGTTGATTGTTTCTTCCTCTATAGTTGCCCTGTTTTTAGTTGCCGTAAATGCAAGCGTTATGGAAAGCTCATGCAAGTAGTGTACGTATTATTTTGTTCCAGTTCGTCATTATACATCAATTTAAAATCATCAGCAGCAGAGTGCCTAAATTAAAATTACTGGTTTAAATTTACCTCAGAAAATTGGCAGTTTTACAGAAAACAGAAAAGTAGACCTGTGGTCACTTTTAATTAGAGTTTAATTATGTAACTAAGCATTTCAGGTTTCTTCTGCTTTATTTCTTGAATGTTCTTGTTTTCAAGCAAATTGTGACTCATTTTTAGGAGTAAAACCTAAAGCATTAGGAGGCCTAACTGTCCAGAAATGCAAAGTGCTCAAATCTAATCAAAGCCAGTGAATGTTGATGGAGCTGAGCTAATTTGGAAATTAGGCCATTGTCTGGGCCTTTTTTTTTTTTCTTCTCTCCTTCTACCCCTTGTGTTATATAAAACCAGCTTCATATTAGATTATGGATGACTTCCCAGTGGATGTCAGTGAAGGAATTACTCCAGATAATTTTCAGCACAGGGAAGGGAGGGTGGGGAGAGAGTAATTAAATTGAAGGCTAAATTAAAGGACAAGGTCCCGAGTGCATTTTCATCTCTATTTAAACTAATAGGAATTTAGAGAACAAAGTGGATCTTGCATGATTGGGCACCTAACGTTCCCTGTAGTCTGTCTCACCCCCTTTTTTAACATGCAGAATTTTACCTTAGATCAACAAATAATGTCCCACAAGTGAAACTTACTAATGTGAAAAAGGGCCTGTCTCGCAAACCTATATGGTGGGAATGAAATGACAGTTTTCTGCTTTGTGTGGCCAGAGCAGTTCTCCAGCCATGCAGCAAAGTAGGCACTAGCTAAACCAACTAGACTTCTTGTCTTCTTCAGAAGGTAATGTAATTTGTTTCAATTTTTGTTGTCATTTTGCATTTTCTGAGATAGGTGAGCTAGGGTAGGAGTGTAACCGTGGCTGTAGGGAGACTCAGGGTTTGCCTTTACAAGGGCATAGATTTGCTAATTCTATTTTAAAGTCCAGAAAATTTACAAGCCTTCAGAAATCTTCCCTGGAGACATCTCTACCATGCAGTATTGATTGCTTATCATACTGAGTAATGATGTTCTGGCTGTATTCTTTTAAAAAAAAAAAAAAATCAAGAGTTAACAGGGAATTGGCTATTAGAGAGTAACAAAAGGTGACATGAAAAAGAGAATTAGCAGTGTGTAGAAATAATGGCTTGAAGATCTTTCTTCAAACTGCTGTTTTCCCCCTTGTATTTCCATTAAAATAAAACTGCAAAATTGCCTTGAACTTAATCATTGAACTACTGTTTGCTCTCTAAATACCTGTAAAGCTATTTGCCTCAGGATACATTTGTGTGATACATTGCAACTCTGAGTAGGCATTTTTTAATGTCTTGGAGAGCAAAAAGTGGAATTGCTTATGTATAATAAACAACAGGAAGGGTGCAAGACAGACAAACAAGCCTAGTAAGCTTAACTGAATATATGATGCCTTAAAAACCAAAATGATTTATATGATCCATTACAAACAGTTGGATCTGATCCAAAGTGCTTACCAAAACTAAAAATATACAAAAGATTATTTAAGTCACAGGTTCAGCTTGAGCAAGTTGTGGGTTTGTGTGGGTTTTTTTCACAGTAGACAACAGATTTGAAGGAATAAGAGATTTTAATTTTTTTTTTAACCTTTCCTGTGATCATTTAGTCAAGCAGGTGGAAAAATTTCTAATGTATTTATCCATGTACTACTCAGCCACGTTACTTCTGTGTTCGTAGCAGATCTGCTGGCAGCACTTCGCAGAGGTTCCTTGCCTTTGCCAGCTTACACCGGGGGCCTCTCCATCCCAAAGAAGCTGTCAGCATCATGCTTGTACTTAGAGGCGTTCTGGCTGCAGCTTCGCCTTAGTTTTTTACTTCTGTCCTCAAGTGCTGCCTCTTTCCTCTTGAACACAGCTAAGGATTTTGCAACCCTCCCTTGCCCTCATGCTGCATAACCTCTAGGTATGATGGTTATCTTGGATTGTGTCACGTCTGTTAGTAGTGTCACGCTAGTGTCTCAGGCTATGGCACGGTGTAAATCTAGCACCTTCTGTGCCCTGCTGCAAAGGACGATGTGCTTTTCTTACAACCCCCACCCCATCAGTGTACAGCCCCCAGAATTTATCCACATGTAGTAATCTAGTAATTGATGAATGCACTTGTTTCTCCTGGTAAATACTTGCAAGAGTCTTGACCAAGGAGTGGTTGTAGGAAGACAGAAGCAGTGGAGACTTGTGGAAGATGATGTAGAAAGTGGTTTTGTTGTCTGCTGAGGCCAGAGTCCTTTCTGGGCCTGAGAGTAATGGGTGGCTCACAGAGAGAGCGACTTTCTTAGGACTCTCTAAGCAGTTTTTATATTTAAGCGTTTTCTTCCTTTGTTTTTGTACGCAGTCCATTAGCTCTTTGTTTCTATAGCTGTATTTCTTTCTGCCCCCGCATGCCTGGAGTGCATTAGTAGCGTGGAAAGACTTTGCTAAAAATGACACTTCTGTTCATAAGATCCCAAGGATGGGAGGTGCGGCAGGTTTGCATAACCGAGGCTTAAGATTAATGCTGCACTTCTCATGTCCTTTGCTCTCTGAACTTAGCCATAGTGATTTTTGTTATCTTGGTTTATCATTTATCAGAGAGGTGGGATTTTCTTCAGCTCACTATTGAAAGTAAGAAAATATGTAAACTAGAGCTTAATTTTGTGCATAAAATGTAAGTGAAAGTTCAAAATATTTATACTTGGCATTCTAGATTGAAGTGATTGCTTTCAGTTATTGCCTATTTGCCATGTAATGTGTGGCTTGTTTTTAAGAATCTTATTTTCACCAATTAATGTACTCTTTATGCAAATTAAACTGCAGACAGCTGTAGAATATTGCAAGATCAGTGCATACAACATGTACAACATGCTTTTGTGGGCAGTGCTTGATTTACTTTCTCTTGTACTTTTTGTTTCCCTCCTCTCTCCACAGCATCATTTATTTCTGCAACGAAACAGAAGAATGTGCTCAGTTGCGCTTCTTAGCAGCCCTGCAGCCTGTGGAGAGTGTGGGCAGTCTCTGTATGCAGCATCCTGGAAAATGTGCGTTCCCTTGAAGAAGTGATCTGCTGAAAAGCGTGTACTTGTACAGTTTTTCCAGCCTGCCTTGTTGCACTGCTCTCAAGGTCTGAAATGCCTGGTCTTTAATACTCCCTGGGATCTGCATTTCTTCTGCTGAAGAAACACTACCTGCTGCAGTTATCCAAGGAGCCCTGAAGAGCAAGGACGCTGAAGATGGCTCTATGCGCTTTTTATGCATTTTGGGGTTTGTTACTGGAAGTGGCAGTAGCATTTGGCCCAGTACCAAGGATCACTTGGGAACACAGAGGTAAGAAGAGAAACTTAGTAGTGTAATATAGGACACTGCCACAACCTCAGGGTTTCTGTGGGATCTGAAACTCCTTGAGGCTGTATGTTCTTCCAGCCTGCTTGCTGCGAGTTTGGTCAGGTGTTGCTGGCTTTTCTTAGTTTATGAAGTGCTTAGGTCCAGAATATTCAAAAATGACTTAGGCACTGAGTTGACTTGATTTCAGATCCTTCAAGCAGTTCTGAAAACATAGCTTTTTAAAGGAGGAATTTCAAATTTGGCTTTCTCAGCTGAAGGATCTTGTAGCTGAAGCTTGCTTCAAGAGAAAAACCCAATAGCTCTATTGTGGTTTGATCAAATTATTTTTACTTTGAATCTGAACATACTAGCAAAATGCACCTCTCCAGCTAATAATCCTTTTTTATGCTTTTTCAGACTGAGATGTATTTTGACACTAAGCCATCCTGTGTGCAGAAACAAATCAAGTGAAGGGAAGATAAGCTTTGGCCCTCTTCTGACAGCGTTATATGGTGCCTAGAGTTGAAACAACCTTTTTCACAGAACACCACTTTCCCTGTATTTGAAATTGCAGCAAATATTCATAACCTTCCAATACAGTTAGTAGGAATCAGCAATATGTGGCACACAGAGAAGTAATAGGGATCAGAGAAGCCTTTAGCTTTTGGTTTCATTATTTAGCTTGGGTCTGAAGAGAACTCTAGAGCAAGGACTATAGAGTAGTTATTTGCTGCTCTTAGTGAATATCCTCCCCCTCCTGCCTCCCGCTTCCCCTTTCCCTTCTCCCTGCAGCTCCCTGTGGCATGCATGCTTTAGGTTTTACAAGATTTTGTGTTTGGGTCCTCTGTTACTACTAGTTAGTTAACAACAATTACTTGCCCAAAACCAAACAAGAATATGGTCAGTATGAAGAAGCAGCCTTAAGTAAGGATGCTAAATACCGAGCAGTTGCAGTGTGGAAAAGATAGATTGAGATTAAGAATGTAGTTAACAATAAGCTGATTTATGAGATGACTGTAGGAAGAGTTTTTCCTGTTTATTGGTATAGCAATTAGTGAGTTGCTGATGCAGCGTTTCAGAAAGAATGGTCTAGACAAGGCTTGTAGTTCTGCTTAGGCTCCTTGATGCTCCTATCTTGTATAATAGTTAAAAATTGGCAAGTTGCTGTTTAATGGTATTATAGTAATGCACTGCAGAACCACATCCAAATTACTCAAAATAAATGGAATTTATTTTCGTTCCTGCTATTTCTCCCTGTCTCTGTCTGCTAAAGATTGTTGCATTTAAATATGGGAAGCCTACTTTAATAGGAGGGGAAACTTAGTTCAGTGGAGGAATGAACATGTGAAGGTGCATGAACCAGTTTGTTCATTTGGGGAAAATTCCCCTGCCAAGTAAAAGATTTTAAAATGACACTATTGAGAATCTGATTTAAAATTAATGTTTCCAGAGTATTATAGTTGAATATGTGCAATTTCTAATGTTAGAACTGGGAGCAATAATACATTATTTCCTGCCTGTATCTTAAAAAAACACAATTAATCTCGTGGTAGTCTCTTGCCCAAAATATGGTCTCCCAAACCTTCAGTCGTTTTTCCCTTACGGTTGTACATGCAGAAAAAATATTCTTGTATATTAGTCATTTTGTGTCATCTTTCTCCAAGCCATTCTGTTCCAGTCTGCATGCTTCCTCATTCCACTGCCTTTTCCCTAATGTCTCCCTCTTTCTCTCATCTTCCTTTTCATCTTTATTTTCCCTCATGTTATTTCTTTCTATCATGTGCATTTCATCTCTCGTCTCCACTTCAAAATCAGCTTATTGACCCTTTTTAAATGGTTCCTTTTTAGCTCCTGTGTCTTTCTGCTGTGGTAGTATGCTGAAGTGTTATCTTTCAAGGTGCAGGACTTTTTGTGAGATTTGTTTGAGGTGGTTGCAGGCAACGTGGTGACTGACCTGATTTTTCCACAGTAGGTGTGTACATGGAAGGGAAAAGGTGAGGAATGACCTGACAGTGGATGTGTAAAATGGAAGGTTAAAAAAAAAAAAGGGAATTAACAGGTTGGAAAAAAATGAAGGAAGAAGTGAGTTGTAGGCATCACTACAAGAGGAAATATTTAGGCATTTGAAATTGAGTGAGAAAGCTGGGACTAGTGTTTTTGACGTTGATGATGGGAGC